GGTTTCCCTTCATTCTGGAGGCAATCATGCCCGGGAGAAGGCCGCCAAAGGCAGTCCCAAATGCCGAAAGGGAACGCAAAGCAATTCCCCTGGACATAAAATTAGAACTGTTACGACGGTTTGAAGTGGGCGAGAAGCTCAGCCAGATCGCAAAGGCCTTGGACCTTGCTGTCTCTGCAGTGGCGACGATCCGAGATAATAAAGAAAAAATAACAGTGAGTTCCCAAGTAGCTACTCCCTCAAGGGCCGCTCGGTTGACTCGCCATCGAAGTGCAGCCATGGAGACTGTGGAGCGGCGGTGCGCCTGTGGCTGGAAGACCAGAGCCAGCGGAACCTGCCGCTGGTGTTGCCATGATCCAGGAGGAGGCTAAGAGTTTGCTTGATGACTTACAGCGTGAACTGGGGGAAAGCTCTCAAAAAGAAACCTTTGGTGCCAGTAAAAGGTGGTTTGTTTGGTTCAAGGAGCGCCATCGTTTGCCCCACTTCCAGATGAATGGCACAGCTTCTAGCAACCGGGACACATACCGGGAAGCGCTGAAAAGCATCATCGAAGACGGTGAGTACACCCCCCAGCAAGTTTTTAATGTCGATGAGATAGGGCTTTAATGGAAGAGAATGCCTGAAGGAACGTTTATTTCTGTGGAGGAAAAAGCTCAGCCAGGGTTTCAATCGTCCAAAGACCGTTTGCTGCTGCTGCTTGGTGGCAACGCAGCTGGGGACTTTAAGTTGAAGCCCTGACTGGGGTACCACTCAGCAACCCCCCGCCCGGGCTCTGAAGGGGTTCTCCAGGCCCAAGTTGCCTGTGCTTTGGCGCTCAAACGGAAAGGATCTCTGGACCCTGGCAACCAAGAGCATTTTTCTTGAATGGTTCAAGTACTTTTTTTGTCCTGCTGTTGAAAAATACTGTGCCAAAAATAACCTAAGCAACAAAGCATTGCTCATCCTGGACAATGCACCATGCCACCCAGTCAGTTTGAGTGACCTGTCTGATCATGTAAGAGTGGAATATCTTCATGACAATGCAGCTGACTCCATCCAGCCCATGGGTCAAGGCGTAGCCTCCACCTTCAAAGCTCACTACCTGAGAAGGACTTTTGAGCACATGCCAGCTAGAAGCAACAGATGGGGAGGATACAGCTACGATCAGGGAGTTTTGGAGAAACTACAACATCTTGGATGCTGTAGACAACATTGCAATAGCTTGGGAGGCACTCAGGCCAGCAACAATGAACAGTGTGTGGAAGAAAATTTGGCCCCGGTGTGTTCACTTCCAGAATTTTTCCCAAACAGATAACATTGCACAGCTTCAAAAAAACCATGATGACCCTTGCCAGGACTCTGGCTTTTGAAGAGCTTGTGAAGTTGACGTGGACCAGGTGCTACAGTCACAGGAGGATGCTCTTTCTAGTGAGGAGCTGATGCAGCTGGAACAGGAGCCAGCAGGAGAGGAGGAGAGTGAAGACACTTAACCGGCTCTGTGTCAACTAACCACAGGAGAACTCTCAGCACCCTCTCACATTTTGAGGCTGGCTTACAGATCCTTACCAGTAGCAGCCCAATGATGAGTGGAAACTGAAAGCTTCGAGAGCCATCAGTGGTGCCATAAATTGCTACAGGGAATTGTATAATGGGAAAAAGCGATGGTTAAAGCAACTATCTTAGGTTGTTTTCAGTGTGTCTAACCAAAAGTTAAAGTAAAGCCAGAAGCAACAAAATGACCTCAATGGATGAGGCTCAGCCAAGTCTCTCTGCTTCCAGAGATTTAACATCCCTGAAAACCCTATTTCTGATATTTTAATTTTGAGACTTGAGTATCAAATTTTGTCATTAAAAATTTATTTAAATATGTGCTCTAAAAAATTTGCATGAGCCCTGGACAGTGTGGCTCAGTTGAGTGTCATCTCTTGATTGAAAGGTCACTGGTTCAATTCCCAGTTAGGGCACATTCCCAGGTTTTGGGTTCATCAGTCCCAGGCCCTATGGGAAGCAACCAATCAATGCTTCTCTCTCTCTCCACCCTCTTCCTTCTTCTCTAAAATCAATAAAAACATTTTTTGTAAAAAAGAAAAAAGATTGCATTCTAGAATACTCATAAAAAACAACAACTATGAGGCGACTAGCACTTCTAGACATTAAAACACATTGGGTCTGTAATTAAAGCACTTTAGTAGTCAGAACTAGAATAGAAAGTCCAGAAACAGATAAAGGTAACTTTTTAAAAAATAACGCATGACAACTTGTTAAGCAATGTTAATTTCTTGATGTCTTCTGATACTTGCACCGAGGCCATACAAGGTAATTTCTTTGGTTGGGAGGAATATACACAAGTATTGAGAGGCAAAGTGGCATCCTCTGCAACCTATAGTCAGATAGTTCAGAGAAGAAAAGAATGAAACAAATGGGGCAAGTTGTTTACATGTAGGCCATCCAGGAGACAGGTACGTGGGAATGTTTCTGTAAGTCTAAGTCAAAGTCAAAATGTTAATCTTTCATAACCTGAAAGAGGAAAAAGATTGCATCCTCCCCCTGATATGCAAAGTAGAGCTTTAGTTATTTGTAGCTGAGGTGCCGTTCAAACCTTTAGGAATAGGGTTGCTGACAGCTTATCTGGATTGCAACTGGATATAGGTGATGAGCAGAGATTTCAAAGGTTCTCTGGGTCAGAGCCCCTTTGAGATCCTAGTCAAATCTGCAGATGATATCTCTGTAGAAAAATGGACATCTACAGCGGTTTGGACATGATTTGCAGTAGGGATGTACGGTTTCCTGTAGTCTGAGGGTAACGGGAATAGCCTTGAGTTTCAGTGAGAGCCTTGGAGTGGGCCCTAACGGGATGTACCAGGCACAGGACCAGTGACGTTCTTGTGATGCTGGGTCAATGAGACAACCCTTCCATTAGGACACTGAGCATTCTCTGCGTGCCCCGCTCAATGATCAGTGACTCCTAGCCCCGCAACAGCCCATGAGACAGTCTGCGTCCTCATCCATCTCATAGGATAATGGAGGCTGAAGGGAATCGGAGCACTCAGACCTATGTCTGACCCCATGCCCAAGCTCATCACCCATCAAGAGTGCTTCTCCCCAAACCAGGTTAATGAGACTCAATTGGATGGGGCAGGATGTGGGCTTTTCCTAGAACCCACAATTGGTTTGCCTGTCAACAAACCCTGACCTCTCCTTGATTCACCACACACAGCAAAGTCTAGAGATCACAGATTTAATGACAGTGGCTGCAGCATCGTTCCAGCTTGGGTGCCCCTCGTTGCTCCTCTGTAAGGTGCTGGCTGTGCAAACTGGTTCCTCTGTGGGTTCTTAGAGTGCTGTGGACTCAGAAAGACCACATGTGATTCTGTTTGGAGACTTTGTCATCCAGAAGGGATAGGTGGAGAAGAGGTGTTCGGGCAGGAGGTAAGTGAGGGAGCTAAAAAATAAATTAAAAAAGCCAGTTCTGTCCGACAAATGCCAGCAAGCTAGCCTTTCTTCTGGACACTGACCCTAACACATGAATGCAGGAATGGCTTCTGTCCCCAGACAGATGTGCAGCTGTGAGAAGGTGCAGGTCTGAGCACCTGCCCTTAACCCCTGTACGCCGTAAGCATCTACAGACACAAGCGGCGGACCTTCCCCACACGCCACGCACACCTATAAAAAAATGTTTTCCCTAAGTGGCAGCTCTGACCAACTTTAAAATCATTTTTTTTGTGAGAATTTTCAGCTGAAAATATTCAAGAACACTCAAATTGAAATATATTTATTTTTATAATATTCATTGCAAACTGATTTTTTTAAATTCAAAATACTGTGGCGTGTGGGGTGGTTTCCATTTTGGACGCGTGGTAGTTAACTGGTTAAACCCTCTGCAACCCTACAAGAGAGGCAGGCTGAGGACCTGCTGTTGACCGCCTTCTCGCTGTCACACTGAGGCAGGTCAGAGCAGACAGCAAGAGGATCGCCTAAAGCCGCCACATGACACTGTCTTCAGCACCCCTTGCGTCGGCCAATGGCCAACAAGCTGAGCTGACCCTTCTGCTGGCTGCAGCCTCTCCTCTTGGGCTTCCCAGTCAAAGGTGACAGGGAACCCAGTGGCTGTGTTCCTTGTCCACCACCACTATCTGTATGTGACAGCCAATCACAGTCCAGGGCAGGGCAGGAAAGACTCTGCCCCCAGGCCGCCCCCTCAAAGGCAGGGTCTCTGATGCAGGAAACATGCCTGCAAATGTCGAGGTTGGCTGCAGCTCCCCCATGAAGAGCTGTGGGCCTCATCCTCCGTCCAGGGTCCTTGGTCAGATGGGGCATCACATACCTCGTCTCATGTTCCTTCATGGACTCTAGGCTTCCTGCCTGAACTCACTGGAGCAAATATTCCCAGCGCTTGACCTCAGGGTCCCTAACAAGGCCCTGGCTGGTGGTCCTTGAGCTGTCCGGATCCTCCACAGGCACTGTAGCAGGACAGACCATCTCAGGGCAAATCTTGTCCCCAGAAATGCCACTCAGACCTCTGGAACCTCTTCCAGAGCCACACCTGGAGGCAGGACCCCCAGCCACCCAGCTCAGAGCACCAGAGTGAGCCAGGCTAGGCCAAGTCAGGAGCCACAGCTGGTCCCCCAGGGGAAAGAGCTCCATGGCCCCTTCCCTCCATGTTGCGTAGAAAGAACCGGTAACCCCTGGACTGGCCCTGTCGACCTCTAATCTATAGGAGAGAACCGTAGAGGCAGGGCCAGGCCCTTGGGGGACACCTGTAAGAGCCTCAGCCAGGAACAGCCAGGAGACCCCAAAGAGACAAGGGGTGGGGGATGGGAGCCTCCAGGGAGATCCCAACCATCCACTACAGATGAGTCTCAGGCCAAGGCTGAGGGTGTGCAGCCGGCGTCCTCAGGTCTTGTCAGCCACTCCCTGGAAGCCCTCCAGGGTTTTTAGGGTAGCCAAGACCCAGCAGCCTGGCTCCAAGGACATGGGGGGGCTCTTCACCATGGGGAAGACGGAAACCCTCCCCCACGCCCCTGACCATGGAGCCCTGCAGTGGTAGGGGGCACATTCTGGCCCTCACAGCAGCACACGCAGGAAACAGCCAGGCACAGCCCTGAGTCCCAGCAAGACCAGGGGCTGATGGTCTTTGTGGTGCTTTCACCCTCTGGCCCCTGGGTGAGGTCCAGGGGCTGCATCCCAGGGGTGTCCAGAGCACAAGAAACACCTTGACTTTGGCAATGACTGGTAGGGTGGGCTCCAGAGAGGTTGGGAGGGGTGCCCGTGGCTCTAGGCATCCATGTCCGGACCAGGCTCCTGGAAGAGAGACTGCTTCCGCAGCATGAGCCGGGCACACTTGGGGCACGTGGTGGAGTTGTCATAGTAGCAATCCCTGGGGACAGTGACAGGCAGACAGGTTCAGACCCTGGGTACAGGGCAGGGCCTCTGCATATAAGATGTTAGCAGTGAGTCCTCAAGCTTCCTAACCAGGCTCCCTCTACAGTTGGGGAAACTGAGGCAGTGTCTTCCAAAGGGCACAGCAGGGTTTGTCCCACAAGTGCCTGCTGGGCCTCTGATTGACACCTATCAATGTCTGACAAGGACAGTCTGGCTTGGATCTCTTCGAGTCTCGGTAACCCTACCTGCCCATCACCGCTGTGCACTCTGCCCCAGGCACTGTGGAGGCACAGGAGCCCATGGCTAAATTTCTGAAAGGGGCACAGCAGCATTTGACATGTCACACACCATGCAAACTGCTAGCTCAAGGGACTTCACAGCTTCAACATGAACCCTTCCTGTGACAGCAACCCCAGTTCTCAAAGCTGTGACGTCAGCTGCTGCGATGACCAACAGCCAGTGGCAGGAAACACCCAGTGTGGGCAGAAGGGGGGGACGCTGTCCCATCTGAGGCCACTGTGAGAAGCTGTGCAGGGCCCAGCAGGCAGACTCCTATTATTAGTAATTGTGCTTCTTAAACAGTTAAAATAATTTTTTCCAATGTATGTGTATTATTTTCCCAAACATTCAGTAAGTCTTTAGTTCATAAATGCTTACGTTGTTTAACCTAAATACTTAATGAACAAAATGTTAGGTATTTCTTTCAGCCTAGAGAAGTTGGAAAAAATATCACTTGGACATTAGAAGTGCCAGGAACTAGGTTTAGGACACCATGGCCTATGCTAATCCTGAGAGACCCACTTCAGTCCTGGGGAGAGGGAAGCAGGACAGCCGTGGGGCTCACACTGGGCCCTCCCCAGCCCCACAGGTGCTTGTCCCAGTGGATCTTACAATTCAGGAACACACATCAGGGCCTTACTCCCTATCTCAGGATCAAGGCAAAGGGCTTTGAAAACCAGGCAGCAAAGACCAAGCCCCAAACATCTTCCCCCATCCCTCTCCCTGTGGCTGGGGGTGGGGTGGGGCCACACCCACCTGTGGAAGACGGCGGAGCAGTCACTGCACACAGATGTGTGGCTGTCGAAGGGGAACAGCACGTCACCCTCTCTGCAGAGCTCACATACGAAACCCTTGGCCTGGCACCGCTGGGGGTGGGGGTGGAGGTGGGGGTGGGAGCAAGTCAGTGCTGCTCCAGAGGGCACCTGAAGCCAGGACGCACCACCCTCCCTGCCCTGGGGGCTGGGCGAGGAGAGATGCCTAGTCCTCAGTGGGGCACCCACCTCACAATCCAGCTTGATGTGCTTGGCGAAGAGCGTGTGGGTCTCGGTGAGCGAGCAGCCCAGGCGGCCCGTGTGGGCATCCAGGAGGTCCTGGACTGAGTACATCTCATCGTTCTCCACAAAATGCTGCCGGTCCTGGAGCTACAGGTGCAGCAGCCATGACTCCAAGCCCCAGGAGGGCCCCTCCCCCTGCCCACCCACCGTC